AGGACTGGGTCGTTGATTAAATATGGGGTTTGAGAGAGGAGTGACATATATATGATGCTCAAGATTCTGAATTGAGTGACTACTGGGTGGTTCCTTTCACTGGGATAAGAAATATATAAAGAACTGGTTTGTGGAAAACATTAGAAATGTTCAAATTTTAAGCATATTGAATCCAAGGTCATCCTTGGGATATCCAAGTTGGTATGACCAGAACATGACTAATTATACTAAGCTGAAGAAACAGATTTAAAAATTAGCTACAGTATAGATGTAATAGTTATAACCATGGAAAGACGTAAGATCACCCAGAGGGTATAGAGGGAAAAGAGAGCCAAGGACAGAACCCTGAAATGTTAACATGTAAAGGTTGGATAGAAGAGGGAGGATAGGATCCCAAGAAGTTTATGAGTCATTTCAGAGACATTTTCCCCTGGCATTCAGAAGAAAGGAATTTAGAGGTCAATACTGTGTAGTATCTCATGGGTCAAATGTCTACAGAAATAAAAAATATGCCTCACATTTTCAGGGAGCAGAGAAACACCAGTACACAACTAATCATAATTCACTGTTGTATATACATCAGTTTTACAGGAGTAGCACTAGCCAATACTTTAGTGCTGTGTACTTTTCCAAGTATTAACTCATTTAATCCTCATAATAACCCATGTGGTCAGTGCTTTTATGACCATTTTACAGATGAGGAAACAAAGAGAAGGTAAGTAACTTGCCCATAGCGCTATTAAGTCAGTATTTGAAGGCCTGAAGTCTAGTTCCTCAGACCACTCTTAATCATTATGTTATGCTGCCAGAAGATGGAGAGAAAGTGAAAACCTCCCAGAGGAAGTGACATTAGGAGGAAGGAGTACAGGACATTCCAGGTAGTAGTAGTAATATAAACCAAAGGCATTAGGGATAAAAATGTATAGCATATTTAGAGGACAGGTGATATAGTGAGACAAGTAGATTGAGGGAATATTTTGAAAGTCTTTAAACGGCAAGTTAAAACTTTTTTCTGAAAGTAGTGTTTTAAGCAGAGAACGGGCATAAGAGAGAGTCACAGTTAACTGGAAATTATGCAGTAGATGAAAGGTGACTGGAATAAAGGAAACTGATCAGGGAATAATTATAGTAATAAAGACAAAAAATAATAAGGGCTTGCCTAAACTAAAAAAGAGGGCAAAGGTTCTAGAAATAGTTCAAAAGAATTTTAATTGAGCAGTATTCATTGAGAATAAACTATGTACCACGCACTGGAAATGAAGTGGTGAGTAAACTTAAACATGGTCCCTGCTGTCCCAGAACTTTCGGTTTATGGGTTAGAATGCTCTTACCTGTCATTTTTGACAAGTTTTTGTTAAATCCTATCTTAAATGCCTCTGAATTACTAATAAACTCTTTTTTGGCTGAAAAAATAGTCCTTTGAATTTTACAGTACAGTTATTAAGAAACTAAAAGAAAACCTAAATACTACCTTAAAAGGCTAGTAAAGTTTGTTACATGCATTTAACCTTAATCTAAGAAAATATTTTATTATAGGTCTCCTTGAAGAAAATGATATTTTCAGGAATGCTCAAGCAGGTGTTCTCATCAGCACTAATAGTCATCCAGTCTTAAGGAAAAACAGAATATTTGATGGATTTGCTGCAGGTTTGTATTTTTTTGTTGTTGTTATCTGTGGCATATTTGATTTTTGGTGTATTAATTATCTTTTGCTTATTAACTAGTGTGCAGAGTGCCAAAGGGGCTGAACACCTATCTTAACATTTGCTTATGAGAGCACCTCATCCAAGTTCTGGATTCCTCTGCTCTAAGACAAACTTATAAGAAATATTGCTTTTACTGTTCAGTGCAATTATGAAATACTAATTGGGAATGAATAAATGCAGGCTTGTACTACCATTAGGAATACAGATAAATTCAAACCCTGTGATCTCACAAATACAGAGATATGTTAAATATATATATATATTGGTAAATGAAATCCAAGTATCATTCATATATTTAAACTTTTTGCCAGTGAAGACAGTTGCTTCCAATTATTCCAAATAACCATTTGGCCCCTTTTCAATTTGTAAACTAGCAGCCACCTAAACATAACTCCTGGGCATTATCCCCTTCTACTTAATTTGCAATAAAATTTCAAAGTAACATCACTAATAAAAATAGTAAGTTATGAACCATCTGTATCACTCCTTCCTTTACCAAGGATAGTATAGACTATGGAAAGTGAATGTTACTATCAATGATTTTATTCTTCAGACATTAAGAAGGTGTTAATCTTTTATATGAAAGGACCAGTTTACCACATTTGCTAATTTCAGGTTTAAGAAATGATATAAAGTGATGCATCTACTTGTTTGTAAATTTTACTTCAGGTATTGAAATTACAAATCATGCAACTGCAACACTAGAAGGCAATCAGATTTTTAACAACCGGTTTGGAGGCTTATTTTTAGCATCTGGTGTTAATGTGACAATGAAAGGTATGTTGGAGTCTCTGCTGCCTGTAAATATGTGAAATATGCCATGAAAAGATAATCAGAAACCATTGTTTAACTTGATCCCTTCTGTAACTCTCCAAGTTAACAACAATTTAAGAGAACCATTTTGAAACAAAGCTTTGTTTAGAGTTGTTCTAAATAGTTGGAATATCTCGTACAAGGAAAACTCATTTCTATTCTTAGCTTATTTCTTATAATGACTTCATTGGTTAGCTTTTCTTACAGCCCTTAAAAATAGTGACTCTTCTATTAGAATTATCCTGTCTTTACAGTTTTTATCTTGTCTTTGTCCTCTAGGTTTTTACTTATTTTTTTCTTTTATTACAGATAACAAAATAATGAACAATCAAGACGCCATAGAAAAGGCTGTTAGTAGAGGCCAATGTTTGTATAAAATATCAAGTTATACCAGCTATCCCATGCATGATTTCTACAGGTATATTTCTAAATGGTTTGTGAGTTGTGAAAAGAAGATAGTGATTTCCTTTTTAAATTGGCAGTGCCATTAATTGTCCACATTGAGGTCTATAATCAAATCTACTTGAGGACCCTGTGCTTAGGACCATAAATATGGAAAAATGCAATACTACAGTACCTGATATTCAGAATGTTGAACAGTGTTAACATATTGTTATCTTAGGATTTTCAAAGTAAAGCTGTCATTATAACTGTTCAATATACCCTAGTCACTGAGTGACATTTTTTTTTTGACTCCCCTCTCCCCCAGATTGATTCAGCCTAGAAAGACTTAATAGCTGAGTTTTTTTAAACCAAAATTTCAGGCTTCCTCTCTACAACTTACAAATAAATCATTCCTCTTCCTCATCCTCAGAAAACATAAGGCAGAAAATTCTTTATTCTGTTGATATTCTCAGAATATTGGCTGGAGCCACAAAATTTTCAGTTTTGGTCCTCTTTTCTTACAAGCTAAAGGTGATAGGGTAATATAGAATATAAACAAAATGCAATCTTTTGAATTAACGACGTTTGAGAAAAATAACATAAGATTTTGCTTTTTAGATGTCATACTTGTAACACCACAGATCGAAATGCCATATGTGTGAACTGCATTAAGAAGTGCCATCAGGGACATGATGTAGAATTTATTAGACATGATAGGTATGTAGCACACTTGTTTGCTATATTACCCAATTATCTTCCCCCTCACTTTCCTAATTTTTGGGTTTTCATTTTGCTTTAGGTTTTTCTGTGACTGTGGTGCTGGAACACTGTCTAATCCTTGTACATTAGCTGGTGAGCCTACACATGATACAGATACACTATATGACTCTGCTCCACCTATAGAATCTAATACCTTGCAGCACAACTGAATTCCTTCCCTAAAGAAAACGTCCTGCCATTCTAACATCATAACTTAAAACATTTTTTGGAAGAAGATTTAAAATATTTGCCCATGCTACTACAGGAAGAGACTGTATTAAAAATGGATACACAAGGTCAGCTGACACTATGAAGCTCAAGCTACCAAAAAGAAAGTGGCAATATATTGACTCAGGATCTCAAAGCTGGGTGTTTTAGCATTACTGTGTAAAGACTTTTGAAGGGACAGAAGTGAAGAAAATAAGCTGCAATTTTGTACAGATACCAACTTCTGAAAAGCTGGTGTTTTTACAACTAGCATTGAATGCAGTCCAATTTGCAGTAGTAATCTTCAATAGACAAGCAGCTTTGTTGCTGCCTTTATGGACATGGGTACCGATTGCTTTTGTGATATGGTAAAAAATGTGAGCTAGCACTTCTGCGTTTCTTTTGATTTTTTTTAACATGTATTCAGATTGAGAAATATGATTTTAATGCTTTAATCTCATGTAGTTTGTTTTTAATTTCGAGCAAATCTTATTGTACTTGAATGTGCCCTGTTTTGTTAGCACACCTAGAGTTGCTGTAACTGTACTCATGTCCCAGTATGTACGTTCTTTCTATGAAAGAGAAAACACTAATCTTAAATTATATCCAGCAATGTTTCTGGTATCCTTTAAGAAAAGTTAAGACTATTATTTCCTTCCCTTTCCTGTGCAGCATTCAAAATCACCCCTAGAAAAAAGTGAGTGTTTTAATGAGACTTCCTAGGAAGGGATGCACTGTAAAACAAAGTATTCTTGTAACTCAGTTTTGTGAAAGGTAAAAAAAACTACTATGTTTTAAAGTACACTTTAGAAAGTCTCTTCAAAACAGTCCTGTATTTGAACTCTGTTCATAGTTTTTTTTGAACAGTTTAGACAAAACTGCTGGAAATTAAAACAATTTCCTGCGTTAAGCTGAGACAAGTATATATATATATATACAGCCCTATACAGTTTCATAGCTTCTCCTCCCCCATTTATGTGTATTGGTGACAGTGGGTATAAACAGCCTGAAAGTGTATGCATGTACCATAACATCTAGACTTAATATATTGTGGAGTATTCAATAACCATTATGTAGAAGGTAGATAAGAATTAAAAGGGTTTAATTTCCTAGAAAGAAAATGGAAAATGGTCATTTTTAAAAAATAAAGTTTATTAGATCATAATGTTGTCTGAATTTACCACCTTTGTCAAAAGTCAACTCAAAGCTTCCAACGTAGTCTATAATTCCTTAATTAAAGTCAGCAACTTATGGACAGCTTCAGCATCTACAGTCGACCTTTCACTAGCCAGGCAAACTTCCCTTAAAATTAAAAAAAGAGAGGTTTTTGTTGTTGTCGTTGTTTCACTTTTTTCACAGTGCATCATCCCTCCCCCCTCACCGTCTTTCTAGAAAACTTAATAAGGTCAGCAATATAATGTAATTACCGAAATAATCGTAGTGACTGATTCATCTTCTCAAATTCTCTTGCTTTTCTGTGTCCCTTCTGAATAACTTCCTCTGGAAGATTAGCAAGCCTTGCTGCATTAAAGCCATAGCTCTTAGGACAAGCTCCTTTAATGAATTTATAGAGGAAGGTAATAGTCTCCTGGCTGGGGTCTTCACATTCATTTTCTACCATGCATGCCTTAAAGAAAGAAGAATATTAGCTGTATTCATGTGCTAGAAATTTAGTATCCAAATTGATTCCCTCAAAAAACTGAACAACTTTTGAATAAACAATCTGCACATACCATATGTCCTAGGCGCACAGCAACATTTTGAGAATAATCTTCTACTAATGAATGGTAATGGGTAGAAAACAACGTACGACACTTTATAGTCTCAGCAAGTTCTTTAACAACTGCATTTGCTATTGCTGTCCCATCAAATGTTGCAGTACCTCTTCCTGTGAAAGTAAAATATGCATAAATTGTATACTATACACTCTGCATTTTATACCAAAAAGGGTGTACTGCACAAAGGTGATCTAAGGGTATTCATACTGTTTAGATGTCCTTCAGATAATCTTCCAGAAAAAGTTTTGTGTCCTAATGTTTTTAAGATAGGCTTCAAATGAAAATTTTAATGTCTTACCTAATTCATCGACAAGTACCAGTGAATGTGCTGTTGCATGCATAAGTATGCTGGCAGTTTCACTCAGTTCAACAAAGAATGTACTTTCACCTAAAAAAAAAAAAAAATCACAAATGATCATTTTGAGAATATTAACAGAAGATTCCTCCTTTACATCATCACTTGAATCTATCATGAAATTGGTACAGAAGATTAAATCTCATTTGCAGTTCTTACACTAGAAGTGATGTTTCCAAATGTCTGAATCTAAATTCAAATTCAGACATTCAAATCCAATCAGGTTCACTTAACGCCAGAAAAACCAAACATCAGATTTAAAAGGCCCATATACAAGAGGCAGATGTCCTCAATGACTTCTAAGTGAGTTGTCAAATAATAAAGCTTTAGGTAGAATTTAAAAAAAAAAAAAAAAACTCACCTGTCATTATTCTATCAGAGGCACCGAGTCTAGTAAACACTCTGTCAATGGGCGTCAGCCTACACCCTTCAGCAGGTACATAACAACCCATCTGGGCCATTACAGCTAATAGACCAGCCTGTGAATGAGAGAGGAAAAGGTCTTTTATGACTGGTATTAAAAGAACCTATAGACAATAAACATTTGTCTTTCTTAAGAATCCTTATTTAGGAGTCAAGCACTCTAATCTTCACAACCCTAAAGTAGGTTGGTTCTGTTCATATACTCATTTGCTAAAATGAAGAAAGGCGAGTGAGACTTCAACAATAGACTTAGGGCCTAACTGGCCTCAGGGTGTGCATACTAACTCACTACACTAGTATTCTGAACCCTAGCTATAGAGGACAGCCACCTGGGAGTTCTTTAAAACTGATGGAAAACCAGTCCTGAATAAAAATGAATCCATTTCAAGGGATGCAGCCCTATATATATATATTTTGCCACATTCTAAAGGTGATTTTGATTTTTTTTTTTTTTTAGAGGAGGTTGAAAACCACTATACTGCCTTGCTCTAATTAGCAAATTAGATGAACAGAAGTTAATATAGTGCAGGGGGGCAGGGGGTGTCAACAAATTACCACTATTTTTCTTACAACCTTTAAAAAAATATAAAAACTATTGTGGCTGGCCAACCCCTGGTATAAAGGGAAGATAAATATATCAAAAAGGCCACATCTTCCCTAAAAGCAGTTCCCAAGTCATTACAGGTCTGAAGTTTTATTTGCTTTCCTATCTGAATAAGTCCACCATGGCTCTTTTATAAGGGTTCCTACAAGTGAGCCTAATTTAAGGACGATCATCATTTCATCCAGCCTTTGTATTTTTGTTCATCATGAATATACCTACCTTCTGAGGAAATAAATTCAATCAAGTCAAAGATCCCCATGACCTGAAACCTCCCTCCCCTTTTAAATTTATATTTCCCTTAACATTAGACAGAGATATTTGACTGCTGATGAGGTAAATATTATATTCCCAAACTTACCTTTGCTCCCTAGTAAAGTCAGTGACTGAACTTTATGTAACTTTGTGCTATTTGGAGATTGCCTAAAAATGAAGTATATCCATTCCTACTGTTACAAATGACTTTCTGATAGCAAAACCTTAAAGATCAGTTACCTGTCTCATGAGTGTAGACTTGCCCCCCATATTCGGTCCAGTAACGAGCACACAATAGGCTTTGCTAGTTTCTTCCTCTTCTTCCTCACAGCCTATTAGAATGTCATTAGGAATAAAATCATCTCCAAAAAAGGTCTTTGTAATGCAGGGATGGCGTGATCCTTTAAGCTCTAAGAAGGGGAGAATATCTTCTCCTGGCAACAGAATTACGGGACGACACATAGGACCGTCACCCCCTCGACTATAGTTAGTCAGGCACAATAAGACATCTGTTAAAGAGAGGATGAAAGTGAGGCTTCATCATTTTTAGGATATCTTGATATACCCAACAGCACAAAAACCCACCTTCTATAAAAATCTTCCAAAATGCATTTCACTCAGTGGAAGGTAGTATGTTCTGTTTGCTGTTGTTATAGACATAGAGACTTTTCTTAATGTTCAGTACTCTAGTTAGTGATACCTTTATCACAGACTTCACAATATATAAAATGCTTTTTTACTGAAAAAAAAGTTATCAGCCTAAGTATTTTACATTCTTCATTATAACACTTGTAATGAGGGGGCTAGCTGGTTAGCTCACTTAGGAGAGCATGGTGCTGGTAACACCAGGGTCACAGGTTCAGATCCCCATACCAGCCAGCCAGCCACCCCCCCCCCAAAAAAAAAACTTGTAATAAAATGAGAAATAACTTTCAACTTTGGTTGGCCTAAAGATCTCTTCTCTTAAAGGACTTAGCCTCTAACATCTGGACTAGAGGGGCACCAAGGGAAACCTAAAAAACTAACACTTCTTGGGAGAAGCAAAAAGTGTTCTAAGAATTGGCATACAGATACTAAAACAATCAAGAGGAAGATAAATTGACCAATTTTGAACACCAATATGAAGAAGGATTTCAAATTACCCCATTACCAAATGCAGCACACTAAAACAGAAGAATGCTGTTCTACTCCATTGGATAGTTGTGTTCAAACTTGGGTAAACTATGATTGCTCTATTTTTTTAAAATTCTGAACATAAACCTGAACTGTAAGACAGCAAAGGCTCCAGATACATTGATCGTGACATTTAAAGAAAAAAGTATTTATGAAGCCAAAAAGGTTGCCAAATTATAAATGCATAAATCAGGGCTTTTACAGTCAATTGGAGGAAAGAATGTGACATTATGGACTAAAGAGAAAAAGGGAAGATTAATCTTTTGAAATGTGCATGCAAATGGATCCACTGAAATACAAAAGGGAAAAAGTGCAAAGGTTATAATAAAACTTTTAAAAGTGATGGATCAAGAGACAGTCAAATTACTGTAACAAAAAAAGGCAGTTAAAAAACACTATCAAATACTAAAAAACTCAACTAAGAATGAAATCTGATCTAAAATAAAGCTTATCTCACTAAGTACTGTAACTCTTGCATCAATCTTTTGCTCCATTATTTGAAACTAAAGAAAGGCCAAAAGGCTTCTCATAATTAAAAGCATATTTCAAGTGAGCAACTTAAATTGTTGTGGCCAACCTAGTCATTTTGCCTAGTGGAGGCAAACGTATGTATGTTTCAAAATAAATACCTTGTTACTTATGTTTAGGTATATACAACTGGGACACAGAATTACTAACCAAAGCCTGAGGAAGAAGCTTGTTCAAAGTCTTACCCAACACTGCCATACACTCTACTGCAGACTGCCAGTCCTTGTAATTTTTATCAAAGTTATAGAACAGTCGCCGCATGCAGTCCTTCAATGATACATCTCTCCGTTCTTCAGCATTTATCAGATTAGCCAACTTCTTCTCAATAGTTTTGGTCCAATATCGTTTACAGCCCTTCTTAGTTGATTTCAACTCATACTCTTCTGGCAAATTACGGGTGGTGAAATTCTCTGGAATTTCCAACTGGTAACGGTTCCTGCCAATTCCCCAATAGACTATGGTCCTACAGCCAATTCTATTGCGCTGTGTCTCTAAGTATTCCAGGAGGCTCTGCTCATTTTCTCTTATGTCAGCAAGAGCTTGGTCATAATCAGAGTCAAATCCTGCTTTGGGAGTAATCAGTCCAGTCTTTCGAGCCTTTTCATGGTCAAAGGCTGTATCCCATCGGTTCAGTTCTGTAGTCAAATCAGGAAAATGGCCTTCAGGATTTTTTGTCTGCAGTGTAACAATCTGCCTAAGGATTTTAGACTTAAAATCATCAATGACTTCTTCCATAATCTCTATAATTTTGCACATTACTTTGAATCCTTCCAGAGCAGAAAGAAAATCAATAATCTTTTTTTTGCTGTATGTAGTTTCTTCATACATTACAGCTCTGCTATCTGGGTGGTTCTGGCTCTTCAGGGGAGACCCAACATTATGAATTTTACTCAGTAGCCTCTCAAGATCTGGAAGTTTCTTTAGAAGGTCTACAACTTCAGAGATTTTGTCAGGCACAACCATGAGGTCTTCTATGGCATCTAGACGATCATTGATAGCGTAAGGGCTACAGAGTGGCGCACAAAGCCATTGCTTTAGGAGCCGTTTACCAAAGGGAGTATAGCAAGTATCAATCCTCTCTAGCAGGGTCCCTTCAGTAGAGCCATTAGTGCTATTCAGAAAAATCTCCAAGTTGTTTAATGTCACTGCATCTAGCACCATTCGTTGATTGGCTTTAGTGAAGACAGCACCAGGTCTTGTAGTACTGACCATGTCAGAATCCAAGGGAATATATTCTTCAAAATTAGCCATTGATAAAAGCTCTTGATCAATAAGGCATTTTTTGAGGTAAAAAACACAACCACCTAGAGCAGAGAGGGCCAGTTCACTCTTCTCTCCTGGTGTCAACCCAATGGAATCGGACTCTGAGGTCATCTCTTTAAGCACCTGGGGTAACATCACCCCACTGTCCTCATTCAGCTTTTCCATAAAATATCCTTCTTCAAGGAGCGTTCTCAAAGTTTTGGCTGCATCCCAAAATTGGGAGCCTGGTATCAGACCTTCCTGAAGAGAACAGGATAATGAACCCTTCAGAATTGTCTTTGTTTCCATTGAGAGATTTCCTTTCTCAAACAAGACTTGTACCGGAGGATAGTGTGCCACTAGAGTCCTAAATCTGGAACAATGGCGATCATCTGAAAACTGACCTACATAAAACTTTCCCAATGAAGTATCAACAAAGCACACACCATACACACGATTGTGGCCAGAAGAATCTTCCTCTTTTTCTTTGAGGCTAAGAAGATACCTACTGTAGTTCTCAGAGGGGTCACCTTCCAGCACACTGTAGGTCTGTGTACCCTTGGTAATAATCCTACAGATCTCCCTCCTCACCACTCTATCATGCTTAGATATATGTGCCATCTTTCGGCATCGTGCCTCCATCATTTCCGGGGTCTCAGTCTGTTCCACTCGTGCTACTTTGTAGCCCTTCTGTACCAGGGAGTCTGAATATCGGCCAAATGCAATTTCAGGAAAACCAGAATGGGCCCAGTTGCCTTTCATGAATACCAACCCCAGTTCACTGACTCCAATAAGAGCATCCATGTGGTAGAGTTCATAGAACTTCCCTACCTTATAAAAGATGACAAGATCAAAGTTCTGAGACTTAATCTGCCACCACTTCCTCATCCCAGGAGTACAAGAATTAAGGAAATCTTCAGGCACATACAGTGTGGATGCGTCAAAATCTGGGTGATCAGGCCGCCTCCGGTGCTCATCTCGTCTCTTTTCCTTTTTAAGCCATTCCAAAGTTTCATGATACCAGACAGCGGGGCGACTACTGTCATCACCTCCTCCACTAACGTTTGCTTGGGATTCAGAATTTTGAGGGGCAGAAAAAGCACTCAAAGTACTCTTGGTTTCTGACAAAATGCCAGTTGCTCGTTTGGTGGCTGAGGACATTTCCTTCCTTGAACTTTTCTTTTTAAGAGAGCCATTTCCAGTCACCATTCTCTTCCGCTTTCGAGCAACTTTGACAGGGCTGTCCAGTCCTTCACTCTCACTATCCCCCACTCCGCTGCTTATCTCATCACTGCTTCCATCCTCCTTAGCATCTGGCTTGAACTCCACATCAGAGCCACCGATGTCACTCTCAGAGTCTGATATCACTCTTCGTTTTTTTATTTGGCGGCTACTTCGCCTAGATCCTTGTACCTTAGGTTGTACCTCCTCTTCACTCTCAATTTCATTATCTTCTTCACTCTTATCTGATGCATAAGTCGCACCTACCTGCCAGGCAAGGAAAGAATATTTAAATACAAAGCAAAATTTGGAAAATTATAATACGTACTGCTGTGAAGTATCTCTCAGTATGCTGCAACTTCATATACCAAGAGAAGAACCCACCACCAGAAATGAGAAACTGTTTTCAATGAATATCTCAAGGAATATCAATTTCAGTTTCACCTAACATTAAAACAAGTGTCACACTACAGCATCAAGTAATTGCTGTCATAGGAGTTCTATACAACAGTGATGAAGCTATTAGCATGACCATATATCACAAATACCAATAGGTCATGTCCTTATTAATAGTCATAGCTATGAAAATAACTTTAAATCTCCATCTCTAGTAATTTTCTCTTCCAGAATCGCCTCTCCTACAAATGGACATGTTATAAAATTTACCATTTTATAAAATCTTTAGTGTAAGAAAGCAGTAAGCAATCTATCCTGGTTCTAGTATTTGCTCTTTCACAAACCAGTTATTATCTTGGCCATGGCACATTCACCTATTATGGATCTCCCTCACATGTAAGATAGTCTTAGACTAAATGATCTCTGTAGTTACCATCCACTTCTAAACCTCTGATCTCCAGTTTCAACTTTAAAAATAAGATTAAAATACCCACTTATATTAACTTGCTTATTCCCTATGTCATCTCATATAAGAAAAAGGAATAAAACAAAATCGAGCTTAGAGATGAATCACTTTGGGGATGCAACTCATTAATTTGCTGAACTAGAGAATAATGATCTTATTTGTTCATTTCCTTAACAGGTTTTAATTCACTCAATTAGTGATCATTAGCATTTGAAACCAAGGTTGTATTTCAGGGTTTATTTAACATCTATCCTTATTAGTGCAAACTACAACAAAAAGTATCGGAACTAAAAACATAAACCTATAATTTCCAGGGACCGACTACACCCATATAGAAGCCCACTGCCCAATTTTATGACCACATGCTTACTGTCCGCTAGGCTCTCTACTTAGAAAAATGATACTACCTCTTGTAGCGTATGCCTTGCCCTGCCAGTAGGCTTGAGAATGTAAGTAAAAAAAAAAAAAAGGGTGCTAGCCTTTGAGATAGTTTCTAAGTAATTTAAGTTTACCTACAATCCAGTGAAGTACATAAGTATGTGTGTGTGTGTGTGTGTGTATACTAAAACAATCAAATATATTAAGAGAATATCACTTTAATATGTCCTCCCCCATTTTTTTCCATCAGCCTCCTAACAGAAAAAACAACTGAATGTTTGCAATTTCACACACCTCCATCTCTTCCTCCTCTTCTGCCTCTGATGGCTCATCACACACTGCCAATTCAAGCCTCTTAATCTTGTCTTTATTCAAGGCTTCATCTGCACGTTGCATTGCTCTGAGTATTTCAGGCTTTGCACTGTAAAAATGACCTCCCTTCTGGGCTTCCTTCGATTTTGAACCTACAAAGAAATATATTTATTAAATAACATAACTTTCTGGCTGGATAGGTGGCTCAACCTACAACATTTGCCCTAATGAATAAAAATGACAAGTATAATTTTTAATGTCACGTTATTTTTTATTGATATAGATGGATCAATAAAGAAAGGACATTTTCAAGAAAAAACTACCAGTGAAATTGAAATCAATTTTACCTCCTTGAAGTTGCCCCAACTGTTGGGTCACCCAGGACCACTTACTCTCTTTTCTAATAACCTGGGATCGTGACCCTAAACAGTACAGCACACCTCTTCAAGTGAGGCAGGAGATGTAAAGGGGGTTTGTTTTGAAACTCTTTCTTAAACTTACTTCAGGAAGGCAAAGACTGCACTGTCAGTTAAATGCAGCTACAATACTAAATATGTTTCTCCCCAAAGCAGTTAGATCAAGTATATTTAAATAAAGTAAATAAGTGAATAACCAATCAACCTACTGTAAGGGGCCCAAACATTTTGGGAGTGTAACCTAGTTCAGACTCTGAATGTGTTAAAGTATTTTTTTCAAAACAGTTGCATCAAAATGTAACTTTAAAAGTCTTCCTCTATAATATTCACCTCATTTAAAATTCATTTCAGCGCCTGCCCGTGGCTCACTCGGGAGAGTGTGGTGCTGATAACACCAAGGCCATGGGTTCGGATCCTACATAGGGATGGCCAGTTAGCTCACTGGCTGAGCATGGTGCTGACAACACCAAGCTAAGGGTTAAGATCCCTTTACCGGTCATCTTTTAAAAAAAAATAAAAATAAATAAAAATAAAATTCATTTCATTATATTAAATGACACTTCCATCCACTGAGCAAAAAGGTTAGGTGCAGAAGATCACAAGTCTAATTGTATATAATTGTTCAGTTGTTTTCCAAGAGGTATAACTAGAAATATCTCTGTTCTGTTTTTCTTCCCAAATATCACCATAAATGGAAAAGAAACCTAAATTTGTCTAAATTTACAGACCCACAACATTACACTAATTCCCTCTTTTTACTAAAACTAACAGGACAACCTAAATTACCGTGGAAATTAGCAACTTTTATGTGCAGCCTAAGAAAATTAAAGCTACAATTTCCCATTTCTCTAAGAAGCTGCACCAAAGTTACAAGTTACAACAAGCAAAATCGATTTGAGGGTGGCTCTGAACTTTTCCCAAAGTGCCTATTGCCCCTGCACTCTGCCTCACCCCCTCGTAACCTATCTCGTAATATCACTGTTTCGAAGAACGCGTGATCCAGTCTCTACAAATCTGAAATGAAAACTCAACAACAACAGAAAAAGGCCTACTTTCTTTTCACCCATGCCTCTCTACTCATTCATTAACATGCACGAGGGACTGGCCCATTAGCTCAGTTGGTTAGTGCACAGTGCTTATAACACTAAGGTCCATTCTGGTTTGATCCCTGTATGTACGGGCAAGTTGCCCCCTCAAAAAAACAAAACAAAATATGCATGTACTGCAAAAATTGGGATTGTTAAAGGCAAAGAGAAGTATGCACAGGGATAATTTTATAAAATAGTGATAACGTAAATGTAAACATTTCTAGATCTTTTTTTTAATGTCTCTTTGCCAAAGCTTTTTTAAAATCTCAAAATTAGTCCTGGAAAAGACCTCCTTTTTCATCTGGTCCAATGAGAAATAAAATGAGATCATTTTATATGTGAGTAAATTGTACAGAAAATAAGATAACCTTGGGTGGCCAATATAATACAGCAAATTAGTAAAAAAGACAGAATCAAATTTCCTGATTCTCTTTCCATCGTGTATGTCAGATTTCCACTTAGACTTACCTTTCTTCAGTGCCCTCCCACCCCCACCCTTTTGCAGGATGAGCACTACTGACCAAAAGATTTGATTCCCAGAGACTTCTGGGAAACTGACCCTTGTTCTGATTCTACAACACTGAGTTCCACAACAGACTAGCCTGGAGAGTCTGAGCACAAAAACTAGTATAGTGCACTGTATCTTGCAATCATACTGTGTATGCATGCACTGTATATAACTCAAGACTGGTGGGGTGCACTTAGCACAAGTGAGGCTAAACATGCAGGACTGTCTGTGATAAATAAGGCTGAGCCTGGGAAGAGAAAGTTATGATTCCAGAAGTCTGGTATGAAACTCAACTCAAATATGCTCATGGGTGAGGACTTTTTGGAAGCCAGGTAGTGTGCATCTCCACCTGTCCTGGAGAATATCACTGGTCTATATGCTATGTATCCTAACCACATTACCTTTCTTTTGGATCCTTCAAGATGAGGACAGTTTACTTTACACTTCTCATGTATGAATTTGCTGGTCTGATTATTATGGTTATAACTCCAATTATGAGATCATTTTTCCTTTAAGGGCATGATACTGCTGTCAAGTCACTCAAAGGACAGAAATAAAAATTGCATTCTACAAACCAAACTGGCCAAAAACCAGCTGCATCTTATCCCTTTCCCATGCCAGAAGCTTTCACAACTGTCACTCTTGCAATTTATTGGCATAAAATACACATGCAGAGTCAGTCTCTCTCTCTCTCTCTCTCTCTCACACACACACACACACACTCTCTCTCTCTCTCTCTCTCTCTCTCTCTCTCTCTCTCTCTCTGCAGTGACTGTTACCCTCTTACCTGTATATGGCTTTAACAGCCTTTTGCTAACCCAGCCCCTTGTTGGGCTGTCATCAAAAAACTGTACATGAACGCGGACTGATTTCCCTTTCTCACGGATGAATGTTCCATCAAAGGGGTGGTTGTAAACCAGGCAAGGCCACCAGGGGTAACCCTCCATCTTGGCCCAAACCAAATCACCTGGTGAGAAGTCACAAGAACTGTTGCCAAAAGGAAATACATAACTGGTTAATATTTGGTTAAGTTTCCTTAAAGGCAGTTACGTACAAATAAACAATTTCGAGGAAGTTATCATTAAGACTCCTTTGAAGTCTTCTGGCATTAATACTTAAGCACAGAAAGTCTAGAATTAATAATTTTTAAGTCAAATGTCAGATGTTCAAGTCATTTTTTAAAACAAGCAAGCTAATATAATGCTTATTTAACTATTAAGACAAACACAAGTATAATAAATTCTGGTACTAAGGTGAGAAACTATTTCTCAGAATCATTCAAAGTTTAAAAACTATGGCAGAATTCTGGTAGAATGCTGATGGCAGGAAACTCATTGTACATGCTCTCCAAATTATAGTGAGTCATACCTATACTACGATATATCAGAAACAGGACCTAACTCACAGTAGTAATATAAAACATACAGATTATATAATTTACTAATTATATTAATTATCCAATCATTAGACTTTGCTTGGAATGTTTCCAGTTAAACTCCTATATACCCCAAACTCCCCAAAAGCTACCTAAGCACTCTGCTACCCTTTCTTCCCACTCTAAGCTAGTTTTATGGAAAAATTCAAGTCAACAAGTGCCTAATATGCCAAAAATAGTGAGTACATATGCCTACAGAATCAAAAACGGAGATCCAATCTTTAGACATTTTTGAATAGTAATTAGTCAACTTAAACCAACTGATCTCGACCCAATCACAAAATTTAGAAAGCATTCTTTTCTTCAAAACATGAGCACAGAAACTTCTCGGCAAGAATATTAAAAGAGAAGCAAGAACAGAAGCATGATTTCACATGCTGTACTTGTCCCAATTGCCTTTATGATAAGTACATTCTCTCAACTTACAGAAATCCATAGTGATCTGTATGCGTTTATAAATATTGCCATCAGGTCATCTTCAAACTGGAAGCTGTGTTGGCACAATTCAAACCGCTACCATAGCTGTGCTTCCTCCTTACTAATATATCCATTAATTAACAGGAAAAAAGACATCACTGTGTGGAATACTTTGCTCAGAAGCCTCATTCTTCTCAAGCTGGCTTTCTCTTCACTTGGGCCATTTAGCCACTTAACCACAAAACCTATCACCCCCTAATTGTAGGCTTTCCTTTAATGTTAGAAAAAAATTTTTTCCCTAAACTGTACTCCTTTATTTCTGCTGCTAAAGGAAGAAAATAACCTTTCTCTATATAAAGGAACTATCAGTTCCCAGACAGTAACTTTTAGAAGACTGGCCAAACACAGCAAATAAATGTGAATGAACATATCTCCCCACATGAAGCATATTTCATGCTTCAAACTGTATTGGCCAAGGCAGATTTTTCTGAAGGTGGGAAGGGGAGGGCTACCCATCAGTCAAGCCTAGCTGCTCTACTTAAAGGCAACTAAAACCCTTAAGAGATGGAGACTCCAGTAAGATTTTGACATGTACATAGTGACGTTTACAAATGTTCTTGAAGATGACTAGGTCTAAAAGTATTTCTCTTGCCTGTATGAACTTAGTTATCGAGGGTAAGGACGAAAGAGGGGTTCAATTTGACACCAGTTATTTTATTACGTACATGTCCTTTATAAGCTACCAGTTTTAAAATTAACATAAAATATCTTTAAATTTGTTTGACAGACAAATGAACATCCACAATACAGAAAACATGTTTATGTAGAAAGCCAGTTACAACCATTATCAGTTTTGAAATAGATTCTTTTTTGAAATAAAATGCTATTAGAAACATAAATGTTTTAGGGATGGCCGGTTAGCTCAGTTGGTTAGAGCCTGGTGTTGGTGATACCCAGGTCAACAGTTCCAATCCCCGTATTGGCCAGATGACAAAAAAGAAAAAAAGGAAGAAACATACTATTTAAACAAAAATTTTGTTTTTCAACATCATCTTACCCTCAATATAAACTTATACTACAGAATCTTACACATAGCCTAATTTATCTGCTGTTAAGAATGGCACTACGCTATAAAACATTAAGACCTAAAAATTTAGTAATATGAATGAAGTTCCTCCAACGCTAAAATACTTTAAGAAAAAGAGTGACACTTTAAAAATCCTGGCCCAGGAAACAGTGGTTTCTAAGCAAAAAAGAGAATTAGGCAGGTAATAAAATGTATAGTGTAATAAAACTAAAACTTTTATACATTTCTTAATTAAAATTTTTCTTCACTCAGTGAGCTAACAAGGAAAAAAAAATTTTTTTTTCTTTTTTTGGTGGCTGGCTGGTATGGGGATCCAAACAAGGGAAAAATTTTAAATCTATTGATTCATTTTTTGTGTGTAAACTTTAATTATTTAAAGGTAATTTTAAGGGCCGGCCCGTGGCTCACTCGGGAGAGTGCGGTGCTGATAACACCAAGGCCCCGGGTTCGGATCCCATATAGGGATGGCCGGTTCGCTCACTGGCTGAGCGTGGTGCTGACAACACCAAGTCAAGGGTTAAGATCCCCTTACCGGTCATCTTTTAAAAAATAAATAAATAAAATAAAGGTAATTTTGAGATTTTATCTCTAGTAATTGGTCAGTTTCCAAGAATGCCAAATAAAAGGAACATATTTTAATTCATGAAAATATTCAGATTTTTCTACCAACACTAAATACTACATTTAAAAACATATAAACATAATGTAAGCATGGGGTCACAGTTGGAATGTACTATAATATGAATACCTGCTATCTTTTATACAATAGCCTTTATGAGAGCCCAATTTATGAAGTCATATAGACCTGTAAAACTGGCTCCACTTAAAACTGTATTTCTCTTATATCAACTAAATTATATTAATTTTACTGTATTTAATATTTGACTATATATATATATATATATATATATATATATTTT